CTCTTTCACTTGTCCTTGATCTGGGCTCTGATGCATGTGATGCGCTCAGGTACTCGTTCAGTCGCTCCCTGCAGATCTGTGCTGCATCTCCGAGAGCGGCCGCGGCGGCCTGTTTACCTCGAGGATGTATGTTGGATGTAGGAGGTGAAGGAGTCCCGCGCTCTGGAAAATAATGATTAGAGTCACCGAGGAGAAGCTAATACAAGCGTTTGCATCAGTCTGTTTGAGTTACATCAGCTTCTAATGACATTATGTTTGACCAACAAACTAAATCGAGTTAGTGGAATTAGTTTTTCCTCAAATGCAGTTTTCTTATTATAATTTATTTATATTTTTATTTGATAGCAGTCGATTACTAACTCCTCCTGGGAATATTTATGTCTCATGTACTCTGTTACCGCAGTTATGAAGACGAGTTTGAATGCTGGCAAACATTTAAAAAAAAAAAAAAATCTTTAGCTGTTTTTCATGTTTTTGTTTTTGCAGTTGCTTTAAAAAAAAAAAAAAAAAAACTTCATTCTGCAACAAGATTTTTTTTTTATTCTGAGCTGCAGTTTTGTATTTGAAAATGACAAATTTGAGTTGACGTGACTCACAATGTTTAGTTGACGCAATTACAAGTGATAATTAAGTTGATCCAATTAGATTTTTTTGGTAGTTTTTAGTTGTTTTGTTGTGACTTTGAAGAAACTGCTTCTTGTTTTCATTCTGAGCTGCAGTTGTGTATCTGAACACATGATTCTTACATCTTAAAAAACAACAACCAGCTAGTTTGAGTTTAAATTACTTAGAAAATTAAGTTGGTCCAACTAGACTGTCCTCAGTAGTTTTTCTTTTTTACGTTTTTGTTCATGTTGTGGCTTTAAGGAACTGCTTCATTCTACAGCAACATATTTTTATTCTTAACTGTGGTTTTGTGTTTGAAAACTCAATATTTAAATCTTGAAAACAACAAATTTAAGTTGGATTTACTCACAATGTTTAGTTGACGCTATTGCCAATATTAAGTTGCTCCAATTAGATTTTCGGGTTTTTTTCTTGTTTTACTTCATGTAGTGGCATTTACGATTATTTTTTTATTCTAAAGTGCAGCCGTGTATCTGAACACACTGCCTTTAAATCTTGAAAACAACATTACAGCATTTTATCCTGCGGTTATGCATCTCATTAAGTGTATTCCAGCGCGCTGTACTTTGTGTTCATGAACTTGGAGGTAAACAGTTTCTCACTAAACTTTAGATTTGAAGATTAACTCCGCTGTCATGTTTGCACAGTAAATATAAAGCCTCTGTTTGCCACATTCACTGGGTCGGACGAGGCGACAGTCTCACCAAAAGTTATTTTAACTCCGTCGACTAAAAGATTAAACCAACAAGATACTCGGTGCTGAATGCTGAGAATCGCCGGTAAGCACATTTCGTCACCTTTGTACAGAGCGGGGCGGCTTTATTCCCCCTCGCTTCCTGTCTTTAAGTCGAACCAACCACCTGAACTTCACCGTACAGATATGAGTGTTCAGCAACGGACCCGACGAGTCGAGAGTCGCCTCGTTCTGCTGGCAGCCGTCACCAGGCGCTGCGAGCGGCTCTTAGAAAGCTGGTGTTACATATTAAGCCCTGATGATAACAGAGCAGCTACTTGTCCTCCAGGACTCTTAAAAAAACTCTGTGTGTGTGTGTGTGTGTGTGTGTGTGTGTGTGTGTGTGTGCGCGCCACAATCTCCCTGATACTCCACCACAAACATTCTCCATAGTTTGTTTTACCATATAAGGCAGCGAGCGTCCCTGGCAGCTGGAGAATGCAAAGTGGGTGCTAAAGGAAGAGGCTTGGCCGAGATAGAGAGAGAGAGAGAGAGAGACGGAGAACACCGGCTCTGAGAGAAAAGAACAATCGAAGGGCGGAAACGAAAGGATGTCGGCCAGCTGACTTCCTGTCACCTTTTTCTAGATCCTCATTTGTAAGGCGGCGTTAGAATCTGTTCTGGGTGTTGCAGCGTTAAGCTCACTTCACTTTTCTTTATTAGGGATAGAGTCAGATAGAAGAGAACGTCTTTGCTGTTCATCGTCTGGAACTGAATGCAAATCTGTTCAAGTGCATCAGTCAGAGGTTTATACATACATAAAGCGTTTCATATTCTTTCTCTTGGGGAAATTTAAGGTGTCAATTTCAGAAAACTAAGGTGCAACTCAAAGAATTAAGTTGTGGTGCAATAAAAGAGCATCAAAAGGCATAAATACAGTATTTAGGAGTCTTTATTTGTCTCATATAGTCTGTGCAGAGAAATGCAAAGTGACTGATCTCAATGCTGTGTAAGAACAATGAGACATTATGAAAAGAACAGTTCTTTAGAAATAACAGGAATGAGGGTCACAGATATAAATAACAAGCATGCAAAAGGCTGTAAATACATCTTGTGGTTTTCTGTTTGAAAGCTGCAGAAGCACCTCTAGGATTTACAGGAAAGGCTCGGCTCTTCTTCGGTCACGGCTCGGTGAACTGGAGGCTCGAAAACACAAACTGAGAGCTTCTTCTCTGACACAACGCCGTCTCTGTCCGTCCGTCCGGGGATCTCCTCCTCCTCCTCCTCCTGCGTGATGGTGAAAATCTAATGACGGTCGAGGCACACGTTGGAGTGAGATTCCTCCACGGCGGCATCAGTTGGGTTTTGTGTGTGTGATTGTGTGGCGACAAACATTTGGCGGGGCAGGAAACGGGCCGGTTATTGTGGTGTTTTGTGTGAGAGTCTGTTTTACAGGGCGTGTGTGTGTGTGTGTGTGTGTGTGAGACCTGAAGCACATGAATGGCGTGTTGTGTTTAGTGTGCAGACGCTATTCTTCACGTTGCTTCACTCAGGAACTCAGGAAGTAACGATATATCTGTTATTTCAGGCGCAGCTCTTTTTTTGAATTCTCTGTGACGTTTCTCAGCGGCGGCGGCGGCGTTGACAGACCTGCAGGAGGGATGATGAGGTTTCAAGGTGTTTTCGAGCGATTTATGATTTCTTTCATTCATTCATTCTGCCTGCCGGGGGGCTGGGGTTTCCTCCGTCTGGTTACTGGCTGTTTTCAGACACGTCAGCGATAGGCAGACAGCAGACTCTTCCGGTCTGGTATCAGCGGCCTCCTCCCACCTCCGGCAGCGTTGGGGGAAGACCTGGCAGAGGGGGGAAGAGAATAAGTGGCGGAAGCGCTGAGTGGCTGAGATGAGATGGAGACAAGATGAAGGAATTTAAAATAAAGAGGAGCGCTGCCAGCTGCCAGCGAGCAGGAAACCATGCGTTCATTTCCTGAACTGTTGAGTCTATGACAGAATGGAAGTCTGGCCTGGAGTGAAGGTCTATTCATTCTCAGCACAAACTGACTTTCTGACAGTTTTTCTGACAGAAAGCTCTCGGCTGAGTGACTCACCCACCTGTACGCTTTGACTGTTGGTCTGACTGGCAGGCTGACTTGTGGACCGAATGACTGGCTAATGAGTCACTGACCTACTAACTGCTGCCCTGTGCACAGAATAGCGTCTGTTTGCCTAAGAAATCCCAGCTGCTTGGTGTTTCAGGAGTGAACTCCAGTCAGCTCTCCGGGTTCCAGCAGTTCAAAAGTGCAGCTACGCGGCGCTGGTCCTGGCTGTCGGGCTGTAAACTGACATTTTAAGAGCGGACAGTGTCTTTTGTGTGGAGTGTTTTTGGGTTTGAGCGCGGCTCCCTGGGAGATGATGGCTGGATAAACCCTCCGGCCTGCAGAGGAAATTCTTGTGTAGTTGTCTGTTTGCTTTCTTTTTCCTCTCGCTGTCTTTTGTTTACCGAGGGCAAATGAGAAGAAGGCCGTTTGTCCTCCTCGCTTGGCCCAGTTCTGTGTTCACCGTCGCCGGAAATTTGCTTTCTGTAGCCGCTTCATTCAGATATAAAGTCGTGCGATCTTCACGTATTAAAACGGATTTGACTTGCAGCAGCTCGTGCTCAGGTTCCATCAGTTGGTTATTACTTGCTGCTGAAGAAGACCTCCAGCTGCCTCCTGCTTCACTCGTTATTCCTCAGCTATTGATTTGTGAAACAGGAAGCGACCCCGAAGACCAGATTACGTTGTCTCACTTACTTATGGGGCCGTGGTTTAGTTCCCTCTCAGCCAGACGAGCAGATGACTACACGATGAGGATAAATATTCCCCCGTAGTCACAGCAGCAAGTATTTAAATATCGTATCAGATGTTTTAGTCAGAATATGACTTCTGTATCGTCTTTGTGCTGTGTGTTTCTGCAGCTTCCTCGACCAAAACATGGCCGCAGGTGTCGTCTGTGCTTCTTTGCAATGAAAAAAACTGGAAAATCATGAAAGTTTTTTTGTCCAAAGTGTTAGTTTTGTGCACGTATTTTATACAAACACGTAAAAACATGGAAAAATGAGTCACTACAATGCAACAATCATGCCTTAATTTAGCATTCAGTGCATCTAAAGCATGCAAATCTCTGCACTTTTTAAACCAGAAGCAGCTTTGGTGTCAAAGTGGTGCCTCAGTTTGTTTGAAACTTGTCATTTCCGATGAGGAACTTGGCTCATGAGTCGTGCCCCTGTGAGATTTTAAAAAAAAACTGATATTTCCCTTCTGATAGCGATCGTTGTCAAGGAAACGTAGACTTTGTTGATTAGACATCAAAACCAAACTAGCAGGACACTTGATTTCTAGATAAACTTTGAGTCTTATCTGTTTTTTCCTCATTTCATTTTCAGTTCTGCAAAAAGTTTAAATACAAGATGTGAATTTAACCCGTTTAGTTCTACAGAATCACGTCCCGGTGCACGCTGCAGGGTTGCTGAGGTGATTGTTCTGCACAAATGTTCAAAATGAAGCTACAGGTTTCTGCTTCTATTTTTTGTTAAGTTTCCCTCGGCCGCCCTCTTTGTGTCCTTCTTCTGGTTCACGTCGGGGCAAAGGGGGGAAGGGAGGCCAGCTCAGGTGACTCAAAGTGGACTGAATGACTAAAATGGTCTTTTTTTGCCTCCTCAGGCGGAGGGAGATGTAGCAGCTCTGAACCGTAGGATCCAGCTGGTGGAGGAGGAGTTGGACCGAGCCCAGGAGAGACTGGCCACGGCGCTGCAGAAACTGGAGGAGGCGGAGAAGGCTGCAGATGAGAGCGAGAGGTCCGTTTTTATCACAACAAACAGCTTCACCGAGACACCTGGCTTTCACAAAACAAACCATAAAACCAAGTGTTTTTGCAAGAATGTTAACTGAACTGTGTCCATCAGAGGGATGAAGGTGATCGAGAACCGAGCGATGAAGGACGAGGAGAAGATGGAGATCCAGGAGATGCAGCTGAAGGAGGCCAAACACATCGCAGAGGAGGCCGACCGCAAATACGAGGAGGTGAGGCCCTCACAAAGTCATATAATGAATCAGTTTTTATCATGTCATGTTTTAAATCTCCTAAAATCTTCCTGCTTGTGGTCTCAGGTGGCTCGTAAGCTGGTGATCCTGGAGGGGGAGCTGGAGAGAGCCGAGGAGAGGGCCGAGCTCTCAGAATGGTAAACCCGGTGAACTCGCCTCAACGCGCAGATGTTCTCTGTTGTTATTCTCACGTTAAAACCAAGAACGTGTTTGTTTGTGGCCACAGTAAAGCCAGTGACCTGGAGGAGGAGCTGAAAAATGTGACCAACAACCTGAAGTCCTTAGAAGCCCAGTCTGAGAAGGTCAGTGTGGGAGTTTCACACATTGAAAGGTGGTTCTTCTTGTCTGCATCCCCATATCCATACTTCCAGTCAGATTTTGCAGCTGGCAGGACGTCAGCCTTCCCGTCTCACAGTCCTTTGCATCACAGCGTTTTGCACGTTTAGCGTGAACGAGCTCGAAGCTACGAGCGCGCTCAGACGCTCGTTTACAGGCTGCGGCGGTGAAAGTTGAAGGTGCAATAGTTTTTCCGCAAACAACTTAGTTTATCAAATACTCGGCGGACACATGAGAACGTGGCGGAAAAAACTCCAGCCACATGTGTGTTTTGCGTGTTTTATTTATTTACCAAGCAATCGGTAATTATAGATGGTGAGGAAGAGCCTGAGGGGCAGAAACACTGGAAACCGGAGCGAGACTTCATCATAAGAACTTCTGTGTGCATTTAGAGTTCAGTTACTTTTCTCTGCAGAGACAAAGATCTTTTTTTATAATAACCAAAAGGTCTTGATGATAAGATGAGAGCAGCCTTTATTAATCCCACAGTGGGGAAAGAGGACGGACAAACATTTAAGAAATATCAGCAGAAAAATAGAAAATAAACCAAAATGTACGTGCACTGATTATTACATGAACAGAAATACAGAGAGAAGTATGAAAAAGCAAAAAGATGTTGCACATGTTCTAGTATATATATGAAGAAAAACAGACATTGCTCAGGGTTTTAAATGTGCAGAATATTCATAATTCACAGCGATGAATGTGTTGATAACATCTCTTCTCTGAGCTTCATCCACCACGAGATGATGACAAACAAAAATGCACTAAGAATAAAGATTAACTTCTGAATAAATGAACATATATGTGTAGAAACACGCACATGTAGACGACGTTTTCCACGACGATGACCAAGCAGTACAGCTGTAGTACTGAAGCACTCAGAGCATGTGTTCAATCTGTTTTTCCTCAT